CTAATTAGTGTTATTTCCAAAACTCCTAACATATCTATCCTCATTCTCAGTCATCTTCTTCAGATAATAGGTGTTCTTCTTTTTTTTTTTTTCTTTGCTCGTCTGCTACAAATAAACATGTTGAAACACACACCCACGCCCACACACACAGAGACATGCATTGTACACACACTCACTCACCCACCCAAACTATCCACACACAAGCACAAATTGCACATACACGCACACACACATTATTAATGAGATTTAATTTATTCTATTTTTTAAATTTGATTATTTATTCATTTTTTTATTTATTGTTATCCGATTATTTATTAGTTATTTTTTTAGCAGATGTTATTGTTCACTTATTGTGTAATTTAATTTGTTATTGTTCACTTTTTGTGATATGATTATTTATTTGTTGTTGTTCTTTTTTTTTTTTTTTGATAAAATGTTATTATTCAGTTATTTTGTTATTCAATTTATTATTGATATGATATATTGTCATTTTTATTAGATAAAAACATATTTTATAAATATTTTTAAATTAAAGAGTAGAAGGATAAAACTGAAAATTAATTTATTTTCAGTCATCGATTTTATGTAGTTATCAAACAGTTTGGTTAAATTCAGTACTTAAATTTCAGTGGATATCAAATAATCAACAAATTTAATATTTAGCTTTCAACTTTCAAACTTCAGCTTACAGTTTTTAGACTCCAGCTGTCAAATTTATCAAACACTACCTAACACTCCTACTTAAAAGGGGTTAAGAATTCAAAAATAGAAATACTTAGACATTGATATCATTATCATATCAGCTTGACATTTGTGAATGTTAATGACAAAATTAGGGGTTAAAAAAACAAAAACAAAAACAAGTTCAAGGGTACAAGTATCAAAAAAAGTAGGCAATATCTCTTCTTCTTCCTCCTCCTATAAAATTTGTTTTTTTTTTATTTTGGTTCAATAAATGTGAAAATATCGATGGACATAAACAATTTAGAGGTATGATACTGAATTTTTATTTTTTTAATATTTTCAATCAACATTGGGCATGTGTAAATTTTATTCATTTATTATGTTATTTTATTTTACAATTTTTACAATTAATGATCATAAGTATATCATAATATGATATGCTACTCTATATATGTGGTGATAGGATCATAAATGAATTGAATTTCCATTCAAATTCAATTAGAATTTGAGTCTGATAAAATAAATATGATTATTTTGATTTATTAGTTATTCCTATTCAAGCTAATTATATCATATGTTGCGAATATAAACTTGAATTTATCATGGTAAGTTCAATTATTGTTTAATAAGTTTAAATTGAAATTAAAATGTGATTTATTAAAATTTATTTTTAATTAAATTATTCAGATTGAATCAAATTTTTTACAGTGAATGTTAATATAGTTATAAAATAAATTTCATCAAATAATCACATAGAATTTAGATCAAAGTGATCAAAAATTTGATTTTGAGTCAATCAAAATTCAATTTAAATATGATCCATTGGTACACCAGATGCACATTTTATTTGGTGGGCCATCAAAAATTAGCCTAACATGTCTCCTGGATTTTATAAAGAGTAATGCGACGTAAATTTAAAAAGTAGACTTGATAATCACAACTATTGAATACATAATGAGTCCTTATAAATGTTGAATCAAGAGTGAAATCAATGATTGTAATTATCAAATTTAATTTTTAAGTCTATATTTATAAATGATGTCATGACAAATATAAATATTTATTGATATTGAATCAAATTATATAATTATTGCCCAGTGAGTCGCCTATTATTGTTTGGTGTATTGTTGTCTATTCTTTTTGTCTTTCATTATAATGAAGGAATATATTATGAATTATTAAATTAATTTCTAAAAATGTAAAACGTTTTTCACACTTTGTATCTTGAAAGATGTTAACATTCCTACTTTGCACACTAAAAGATCATTTTTCCCATAATGCATCTTCATTGTTCTAAATTCATTGTAATGTGACTCTTTACACCAACGTCCATCTCTATTCCCGTTAAAAGAAATTGCATATGCCATGCACATGGTTTGCCCATGGAAAAAAGTGTAAAAACGAAGTTCAATTGAAACCGTTCTCATGTGTGTCCTCGTCCTGAGAAAATATTCATTATAACGATGATATCACGTGGTAAGACGATGTGGTATCACCAATTAATAGTACTAAAACAAATAAGCACATGGAATTCACAAAAATTAATAACTAACCTAACTTGTGATTATTCAAATATTAGCATTTCCTAATAATCATAACTATTCAAAATAAATTAATTATTCAATCAAATAATAAATCAAATCTCAACATGTGATTCCTTTTCTCTCTTTCTAATTCTCTCTCTCTCTCTCTCTCTCTCTCTCTCTCTCTGTGTGTGTAATCTTTGCTTTGTTCTCTGATATTGGTGTGGATCGTTGAGATTTCGTCTTTGCTTTTTTGTGGTGGAGGTAGAAATGGCGGGGTTTGGGTGTGTGGTGGTGGTGGTGGTGGGATTATAGGTAACAGAGGAGATGAGTGACTATTTTACTACTAGATGATCGAGTTGGCTTTGCAATAGAGATTGTGGAGAACATATTTTGGATGGTGGAGGGGGTAATGGAGGTGGTGGCAACCGTCGATTGGCTTGGGGAGTTGCAGAGGATGGAGGAAGGTGGGGATATAGTGCTGGGACGAGGCTTCTGATATTTGAGGGAAGAGAAAGAGAGAGAGAGAAGGCAGACAATTTTTTATTTTTCAATTTTGCCCTCCGTTTTGTTTGTAAAATATCATAAATGTCCTTAAAGAATTACACGTGACTTGCAAATTGCTACTTCCCGTCTCTTTTTTTAACGAAAGTTAGTGCTAAGACCACATTGACTCAATGTTTTAATTTAGGGGATGAAATTGACGGAATTGAAACTTTAAGGACTAGAGTGCGACGAGGAATAAATCCTTTGTATTATTTGGACTTATGGAATTTATATCAAATCCAGCTTAATTTTAAATACTTATTTAATTCAGTTTGAACTTATATTATTTGGTCTGATGAAATTTAAGTCAAACCTAATTTAATTTTAGAAAATTATTTAATTAAATTTGGGTCCCACAATAGATTACTTTTTCAATGTCAAGGGACCTTTACTTATGTGCATAGAATCAAGTGTGGCCGATAACAAATTGTATTATGTTGGTCCTTGAAGAATTGAATATGTTTATATATGGTCCTTCACGCAAACAACGTGCAAATTGCTATGAATTTTTTAGCATAAACTTGTCACATAATACTTAAATATGAACAAAAAAAATAATTGGATAGCTCTTAATAAAATTTATATTCAAATTTTGGTCAAAATACTATTTAAATTACACAATTTTGATTACGAGTTATCCAAATTTTGATTAAAAACTACTAATATTACATTTTTTTTGTTAAGAGCTACCGAAATTTTAGTTAAGAGCTATTCAAATTATTTTTTATTCATATTTAGGTATTACATGACAAGTTTATGATAAAAAAATCATTTATAATTTAGACTCTATCTATTTGAAGTTCTATATAAAAACATATTCAATACTTCAGTTACCAAAATAATACAATTGAAATATTAGAGACCAAAATAAAACAAACTCTCTAATTTAAGAACTTCTATTATAATTAACCCTTAAAATAAAAGAACATAATATTTTAATATATTTTAACTAGCTATTTTAGAGAACACCTTTTAAAATGCTCTTACAGCATCTCCAACTCTGACTCTAATGTAGATTCTAATTTAAATTTGAGTCAAAATGACTAAAAACCTTCTCTAACATTGGACTCAAATTTATATTAAATTAAAGCAAAACTTATTATGGACTCAAATTGAAGAGGACTCAAATTCTATAATAAATTTTTAAGAGCATCTCTAACCATGACTCAAATTTTTACTCAAATTTAATTAACATTTGAGTAAAAATTTTGATTTGATATAAAGGATTCCGATAGACAAACTCAAATTTAAAGGAGAGACCCAAATTTAAATGAGGGTAAACTTAAATTTAAAAAGGAATAAGGATGACTATTGGATCTTTAAAAGATGGTGAAATCTCATTATTAAAGATTTGAGTCTTCCTTGATTTGAGTAAAAAAATGAGTTTCCCTTGATTTGGTATAAGTTTGAGTCAAGGATTGAATCAAGTTTTTTAGACATTTTTACTCAAATTTAAATTTAAGTCTAAATTTATGTAAGGGTTGTACGGTAATTTTTTAACCTATCCAGAACTAAAAAACTTCTTGGATGATTTGTTCTCTACCACTTCTTGCCTATCTCTACTATGCTACTTCCATCGCTGACCACTACCGAAGCTTTCACAAATCATTTGAAGACTTGTAGGTAAGTTTTTTCCTTTTCATCTTCTATCTTCTTGTATTTTTAAAAACCTTAACTACATCCATCTTTTGTACTATATAAACTCTAAGTCTGCCTATTAATTTTTTTTTTGATTTTTCTGACTTAAACACTATTGGTAGTATAATTTCATGCCACCAATTTTTTTTGAAATTTTAAGTCTTTGCTACCCACAAATTTAGAAAAATTTTCATTTTATTTCTTAAATATTCCATTTTTGTTAAAAATTATATTTTTGTATTCTTCAAACCAGGTCAATCTTAAAATAGTTTTTTTTTCTTTATCTGGATTTATAAAAAATGATAGGGATTAAAACAGTTTTAAAATTATGGGGTGATGCCTTTTTCCTATATATATTCATTTTTTTAATTACCCATTTATGAAGAGATAAGAAAGTTTCATTTATTTTATCAAATATATAACTTGAATGATAAAAAAAAATGTTTTCAGATAATAAGGAAATTTTTTAAAAAATATAAGTAAATATTTGAGTTTACTCGATGGAATATTTTATGCCAAATCAAATTTTCTACTTAAATTTGAATTTAAATATGTGTCATTGGTGATGCTATTATAAATGGTGTACAGACCATATATTTAGCAAACACTGCAAGAGTAGTAACTCGTAATGGAGAGTGAGGTTAGTGGCGGCGGTGGCAATGAATGAGGTGGAGGGCAGAGGTTTATGTTTACACAACAATAGCAACGGCAACCTCATCACTCCCTCCAGTGATGATGACCTCAGAAACGTCTTTCACCAAATCAGAACAACCAAAAACCCTGTAAGCAAAATCTACAATCACATAGAAAACCCATCTCTGTTTATGGTTGGAGAGCTGATTTTTGTTTTTTAAAACATTTTTTGTTTTGCAGGCCGTAATTAATTATGGCGCTTCTTGGTATGTTTATGGGTTTATTTGAACTTTTCGTTTTAAAAATTTTGTTCTTTTTTGGAACTTTATTTGCTTGGCAATGCTTATATATTTTGTTTTATCTCTATGTATTTGGTGTTTTGGTGCAAAGTTTGGGCATATGATGTCTTACACTTGATCTCTGAACTTCAGGTAAGTTCTTTGTTGACAAGCTTACACTGCTGATGCCCATATTTCCCTTTTTGGTCAATTGGGTTTCTTGTTTAGTGATCTAAATATCATATATTATACCTGTTATTCATTATCAATTATTATCTTTTAGTCAAGCAAACAATTTGATTTTAGGATTTGAAAGGGGCGACAAGAAATGTGTCTGTATGTTGGGGGAGCGGTGCAAAATATGTGAACACAAGGTGTTCGATGTTTGACTTAAATGAAATTTGGCTTTATTGGGTTTACTTCGGAGAGCGACTTCTTACTGTGAATTGATTTCCTGCACACTATGAAATGCATTAAAGTCTGATCACAAAGCCTCGATAGCAGCATTAGATGCACCAGAAAAGTGGTGGACATAATTTATCAATTGTACTTCAAATATTTCAATTTGTAGAAAGCATCTATTGGTAATCTGTTTTTGCAAGTAATCTGCTTCCAAAATGGCTGTTTTCAGTTTGGTGCATGAATATATTTTTGCCCATGAGTGCATCATTTTTTGTTATTAATAAAAATATGCATCAATTGTTTAGAACATTATTCTACTGGCTTTGATTTTGCACCGACTAGAACACAGCACACTCAAGATCATCTGAATGAAATAGGAGGCATCATTGGTTTTGGTGTTCATACACTGTACAAGATATTTATGTTCAAGCTGATTCATTCATCATTTTTCAGGTGTCGCGTTTGCAGCCAGATCCTGCCTTCATTTTGTCAATTGAGCAACAAGTTTCCACAATTATCTTTCATATATGCAGATATCGACGAATGGCCAGAAAGCACTCAGCATATTCGGTACACACCAACTTTTCATTTCTACCGAGATGGTGAAAGAGTTGATGAGATGCTTGGTGCTGGAGAGGAGAGGCTGCGAGATTGTTTGTGGTTGCATTCCTGACGACAGTTCATGCTTTACCAGCTCTGAAATCTACATCCTGTAAACCGTCAAGCCTGCTAAATCATACTAAGATTTTGTTGAATTGTAATTTGAGTGTATCCTACATTAGCATTATATGTGAATAGTTCCTTGTTTAATGGCCTGCTTTTCTGATCATCCATCTTGGTGGGGGATGTTATAGATCTTGTTCGTTCATTAAGAGTTGCACAGTTTCATTTGTTGCCTTACTTGAAATGTGTCCATTGCTCTGAAAAATATGAAGGGCTTCATAAAAGAGCTCTACATTTGCATGTATGAATGGTTGACCAAATCAATTCCATTAAATGAATTGCTCATCAGTTCAATGAAAATTGATTGATAAGTCTGAAACTAATCATATGAGATGCATAAGAACTTCTGAACTACACCAACCTGACGGGTTAATAGCTGCAACAAAAAAAAAAAGAAACAAGGGAAAATTGTGAAAATGCACAAAAAAGAAGAAGAAATATCTACTTGAATAGCTGTAGCCTTTCAAAAAAAAGATCTTACAGGAGCACCTCAAATCCAACATGACCGGAATACCACCCAACTACAATGGGATCACCCAACTGAAGGCGGTCCAAACTGTGCTCACTATTGCACACAAGAATTCAGGCCATATCTTTCTTGATGAACTCCCAGACGGAAATTTACTCTATACCAAACAACTGAGTCCGTATTTTGTAAGAGTATATAGTCTAAAGCGGTTGGTTGGCTCAATATTTGAATTTCAACCTACCTCTATCCTTCCAAATTAGAATTTATTTTTTTCAAAGACACGAAGTGTTAAAGTGAAAAACTCCTCACTAGAACAACCAACTCATTCAATTCAAGTAAGTCAGATGACACCAAAAATTTGTGCCATTTCTCATATCATGAGTCTAGCATGAAATGGCCCTCACAACAGAAGCTTCTTTCACACAAAAACAGTTGGCTGAAAAATAATCATTGAGATGGCTTCTAGAAATGTCATTCATCGACAAAAGCAACACCAACACATTAGTATATAAGCCTTTTGTGATTGGCTGCAGGATCAAGTGAGAATAGAAGCAGCTGCTGAAGCACTGCTTGAATTTTCTTCCTGGAGCATTTTCTGAAATTAGCTGACTCTATTATCCACTTGTCTCTGAAGAAGGGTTGCTGAAGCACCAATGGCACTTCCCAATAGCTACATTGATATTTGGTGCAAGGATGCCCTCTATGAGGCAGGCAATCCTCCAAATAATGGGAGGACGAGTTCGAAAGGCAAACGGACAGAGAATGAAGACGGCCTTTCCTAACCCTTTTCCCCTCCCCCCCCCCCCCCCCCGGAGAAAAACCCCCCAAAAAAAGGAAGGGAAAAAAAGAAAAAGAAAAAAATAAAGTTCCGTTTATCACTGAACTAAAAACAATAACAAACTAGTGTAAGGACTGTAATAGTAGCCTGAGCTTTTCTTGCTTATCTTTTGTAAGTCCTTTAGCTATTTCCGAGCCATGCGAAGTGAACTCTCATGTTAGCTGCCAAGTAGCAGTACCCTTTATTGTGCAATTAAGAAATCATTATCTGGGTATTAATCAGCATAATATGCAGTAAATAGTCATTCTTATGGCTAATTGGTTTGATTTATATATGCAAGATCGGGGTCACAATTTGTATCGATTAAACAAATTGTTGGAAATATATGAAGCACCCCACGGTGCTGGTGATGTTCTGCACCGTGTTATTTCTGAATGAGATGCTTTGCAGTTGATCACATCTTCGATGTGCTTTGGCAAGATTCAGTGAGATGCGTTGAATGGTTATTTCCACACAAAAAATAGCAAACGGAATGAAATTTATGATATGAAGGAATTGGCGGAAACGATGATTAAATTCTAAACCCAAAAAAAGGGGTGACTGGATTTTATTAAATTGAATTACATTAGTAATCAAATACTAACAATGAATTAAATCAACAATTAGGCCCAAGTAGTGCTATGTATTAACTATATTCACAGTTTTGTATTGATGCATAAACTGGCATCTCCTACATTTCATACAAAGGCAAGGGAGGAAAACAATTCCACCCTCGTAAATGGTCAACTATTGTGAAGCTTTCACCGGCAGCGATCAAATTAAACTTGGACTGTACTTAGTCATCATAATTATATCTATTTTTACCAGGAAATTTTTTGATAGCTGACTACCTCTTTCGGTTATCACTAGTAAAGATCTTTGTCGCTGCCTAAGTGATACTGATACTTGAGATTCAATCATTTGCCAGTACTCCTCAAGGGCTTGAACCTCCTCTATTGCATGGAGCCCATGCAAGTCCAACTTCCACATGTCATTATTACGGTTCTTGATTCTACTAAGAATTTTTTTAGCTGTCTTCCATGAAATATCTCTCTAGCCATTCGTTCTGCTTGAGCCTTTAGTGACAACTCTTGGGCAGAAATATGATCTCTTTTAGGATGCTTTCGAATGTAGGGATGTTAACATTGTCATTTTTATTGCATCTTTTCGTCGAATCAAATAAATATCATTACCTCTTTCTTGATTACGCTCTATAAACTCTTCAATCTTATCGTCCTCATGATTGAGAACACAACTCATCAACTCTTCAATATCCATATTTGTAATTTTTTCCTTTTCATTCCCATCATCATCATCATCAAGATTCCTTGTGTTTGACACATCATAACGCTTCTATCAACGCAATAATGAATTCTTTCAAAATTCTGATCATATGGATTATTACTCTTATTGTTTTGTTGTTGTTGGTGATTAACGTAAAACAAAACCCAATCAAGAGGGTTAGAGTTCCACCATGAAGAGATAATCACACTAGCATAACTCATCATCTATGAACTTTGGCGTTAAGTTTTTCTAGGTATAGCGGATCAAAAAACCCTACTGCTGCCTCACGTTCTTTGTGTGCAAACCAGGAAATTTGACTGTGTTACTCAATATCCAAGGCTTCAAGGAGTTTTAGAGATTACAAAGACCAAAAGATATACATGTTTGAGTTTCCATTTCAAATAGAAAACTAAATTAAGAACCTTCCAAGTGTGAAGGGTTGTGTTTAACAAATGGAGAAGGAATGAGGATGAAGGGTAAAACCGTTAGTATAGAAATAAAAAATTAATAAAAAGGTTGAAATATTTAAACTCAAAAATTGAAATATTTAAACATTGATATCTTTTTCATATCACCTGCATTTTTAAATCCACCGCCAATCAGTATCTCAATCGGACTCCTGTCTCTAGACACATCCAACCAACCCACCATCGACGAATGACCAACCACTGAGAGATCCATCACCGGTAGTACAGTCCAGCTCCCCTCTCTTCCTCCCTCCCTCCGTCTTTCTGTCTTCAACTTTTTGCACAAATACACACACCAGCGCACAACACACACAGAACACACGCACACAGCCACTCACACACAACATACGCACACACACACAACCATTGACGCCCAGCCCACCATCAACCACTCTCTCCCTCCCTTTCTCCTCTTCCTTCTCCTCTATCTCTAACCATCCCCTCTCGATCACGCTCACCAATTGTTCGACCAAGTGCCCACAAACAGAAATTGATAATCGATTTCGATTCGTTCAAACCACCAATAGATTTTGATGATGCACAAAATCAATTTGCACACCACCCTTCAATTAAGCAATATAAAATGCAGTAAGTAGAGGGAGAGAAAAAATAAGGTTTATAGTGGTTCGGTCAACGAGACCTATGTCCACTTTCAATGACTAAGTTCACTGGAATTTTTATTGACTCCAGTGCATTGGGAGAGCAAGAATTACAAGAAAGAGAGAGAGAGATGAGCTTGATTTTGTTGAGATGCCCCCCAAGTGTTAGGGGAGCTTACAATTTATAGAAGTCTACGTAGTAATTGAGTAGCTTGACGGTTATAACGGACTAGAGGTAACTTAATAGCTGATGACCTCTCCTCTCCCCTGACGACTTCTCCTCTTACTCAACGGACAAGGGTATAGCTCCTGGATGCTCCTGTAACTCCCTGATGGGCTTAACCATCTTGGACCTCATAAGGCTTGCTTGGTCTTCTATAAGTTTGGGCTTTTTCCCATATATTGGGCCATTTGGGTTTGACCTATCATTTGCCCTCTAATGCTCCATGTCCAATGAAACTTAGAGAAGTGGGCATTCAACTGAATTTGAATTATGACCTAAAAATACTCCTCACCCGCTATGTCCATGTTGCGCTATGACAGGTTGCGGGGATCGACTTGCCCGGACAGGTCGCGGGGTTCCACCTGCCCGGTCAGGTGGCGGGGGCTCGGGACAGCACCCCTAGATCTTAAAACGATTTTTTGAATCAGACACCAAAACTCCATCTCCATTCTTGATGTAGTTTGCCTTGCTGAACACCTCAAATCTTTTCCATTTTTACTTGAATTTGTAAGAGAGTCCTTGGTTTTTAATTTGGGTTTTTCCCTCTTTGTAAACCCTAAGCTATAAATAGGAGCCTCCCCCTTTTATTCTGCCCACTTCAAACAATCTTGAGGGAGGATGAGAGCTTTTTCTTGGAATCCTTAAGAACCTAGATCTCATCCTTCCCATAGAAGCTTTAGTGAAGGACGGTGCTCTTCTTGAGAGTTCTTGGAGACCCAAGGTTTTTGGTTCTTTGGGTTTGTGTATTTTAATCAATGGTGGCTAGTGGAGAGGATGTTCAGCGGTGTTCAAACCTTGGTGGGCAAGTCGAATAAGATGGAGGTGTTCGTGAAGATGGGTTGGAGGCGCCTGGCTCTAGGGAGGTAAAGCTGCGAGGTGCCTCTATTGTTTACGTAAGGAGCTTGCAGCACTCGCTGCTGGGCGAGGCAAGGAAAAGTCTGGGCGTCTATTTTGGCGAGGCGAGGGTGGCCTTGGGTGAGCGGTCTTGGGGTGCGAGCAGTCGAGGCAGCTTGGGTGCTTCGGGCGCCAGTTTGGGCGAGCAAGGAGGCGGGTCTAATTTGAACGAACAGCTGGGCGCCCCTGCCGTCTGT